TCCATAGGGTTCAGAATGAATTTCTTAAAAAAATGACGGTCTCAATCGTCTTTCAAGGAGAAACCAAGAATTGGTCGAATGACAAAAAATTCGACCTAATCAGATATCTGGAAGAATCAGTTTTGACTGAAGAAGAGTTAGTCTCCGAAAAAGGAACTACTCATATGGAGGGCAAGGGACAGATTACCTACGTTGCAAAGAACCTCAAAGTTGTGGATTGGTTGTTAAACACTAAGAAGGAAATGAAATTCAAAGAGGGAAGCAAATGGAACTTCGTATTTTTTCGACAGTGGCTACCACGCACAGAATGGCAAAAGAAGAGAGATGAGGACAAACGGAAGAATTATTAGGTAATGGCGATGAGGTTTCCCATTGCTGCTTCTATGTACATCAGAACTAGTTTGGAAGCAGCAATGGGACAAATTGTCAAGGAATTCCCCCCGATTGCAGATCCGGAGGACCCAAAACTGGGCAACCTCAAATATCAATTGCACCCCTCCGCCGAAGAGAGTTTCAGACCCCGCTTAAAATTGTGGGATGGAACGGACTATCTGGTGGCAGACCTGGTAAACTCCAATTCCCCTTGGTGTACTAACTGCAAGAGGTACAAGCAGAAACAGGATGATTGTTCGTTTTGTGATTTCCGTTACAGATATGGTCACTCCAATGACGAATGCAAGGCTGAGGGTGAAAATAACGAAAGGAACAGTTTCTCTCAGTCTGGACGACAAGGGAATCACTCAAAATCGTTTTTTCACCAATAGTATCAGAATCCTTCAAATCCCTGGCAAAACAGTTGGGATACGAAGGCCCCTCCCTCAAAGTCTTCAAGAGAGAAAGTTTCCAGCCAGAACCAAGGTAAAACGTGTCCAACAGGATCGGGCCGTTTTTTCTCTGAGTGGGAAACTAGGGGTTCAACCACTGATCCACGGATCAATCCGCCTGCACAAAACAGAGCTGAATGGCGCCCGACCACAAAACCACGCAGTGGCTCCCTGGGGGGGCAAGGCGGTTCTCAGTTCCCCGGGGACAGAGACTCCGCAGCTAAGCCAGGAACGGGGTATGACCCGGCAGCCGCTCAGAAGGTTAAGGGACTGTTGGCTATAACAGAAGCCGGAGAAGATGGCTTGCAGAACCTTCCCCCAGCTGGGGCACTAATACCTGGGGCCAACCTGGGATTTAGGACAGGTACTTCCAGCACAGCATCTGGTACAAAGAAAGGCGCTATACCCTTATCAAAACAGCCTCAAAAGAAGCCAAGAACGGTTGATGAGATCATGGGCACAACGGCTCAGGAGGTGCAACAGCCGCAACCTCCGTCGTTGCTGGGACCAGTCACTCCTCAGGCCAAGCAAGACAACCCGTACATTCTGGCCCCACTGGTGTTCAAACAAAGCAATCACACCACGCTGCTGTTGTTGCAGCAAAACGACAGCAATGAATTATTCCTCCCATCTCTTACAACCAACACTTTCCCTCATCCCAACGAATTTTTGACATCAGCAAGGAAAACGCTGGACAAGAGGTATTTCGTGAGACCGATACCGGCAATGCCCTGTTCATCGACCTATAGAATAGGGCAGTCTGGTAAAACCCACCCCATTCTAAGTCTTTGCTTGGAAGCAGCTCGGGCGCCCGGAACGGATCCCCAAGCGGTGGACAAGGGACTGTGCTGGGCACCGATAACATGGTTCAAGAGAAGCAACGTGAAAGAAAAATTATATCCCTCACTTGAAGATGAAATTTTGGGAGATGTTATCGCCGAATTGGACTCTCACATTCCAAAGGAGAGATCTATCTTCTCCAGGTATATCCTGGAATCTACAAAGCTCCCTTGGGACGTGCCAAGCCTAATCCACGAGCCTATCCAAGAAGGGCCGCAGTCCGCAGGGGCGGATGGACGGTAGGCTAGCAATAGCCTCATGGAATGTCAGAGGTCTGGTTGATAACTATGGTAAGCAAAAACGAGCAAGATTGAAGTCATGGATTCACACAAACCATATTTCGATAATGCTACTGTAGAAAACCAAACTCTCCGAGGACAGACTGTCTTCCATGCCGAAATGGTGGACTGGTCCTCAGATCTGGGCCCTGGCCCATGAAATGAGAGGAGGTACTGACATCTTGATTCATAAAAAATTCGCAAATAGCATTGTAGAATCTGGTTGGGATCCTGCGGGCCACTGGTGTTGGGCAAGACTAACCCTGGATGGTAGGGACTGCATTTTCTTCTCAGTCTACGTCCCTACAGATCATGCAGGTAAATCCCAATTCCTCAACTCTCTATACCAACTAGTTCCCACAGCAGATTTTGTGACTGTGGGGGGGGACTGGAACACAGCCCCAAATCCTATGGTAGATTCCACCACCCCGATATCCCACCCAGGCGAATCAGCGGCTCTCAACGACTTGATGGTAGATCGAGGTCTCATCGACCCCTTCAGAGTCCTCCACCCGGATTCCATATCCTACACATGGTCATCATCAACCGTCATAGAGAACAGACCACTCACAATGCGCAGATTAGATATTATACTTACCAATGAACCTACTCTCCAGCTAATTAATAAAGCAGAAATCACCACTGACTCTCTATCTGACCACAAACCGGTCTCAATCTCGCTCAACCTGGGTACAGGGATCATGAGAGGTAAAGGGGTATTCAGACTCAGTTTACATATCCTGGATGACCCAGGTATAGTAGACTGGATATGAAAAACGTGGGAAGAATGGAGAAGTAATACCACTCTATTTGAGAATGATGGCGCATGCTTGGACAAGGGACTCTCTCTTGTTTCCAACCAACTAAATCTCATCTCCCGAGTTAAAGCCGTCAACCGTAAGTACAATGAGATACTCTTGAAAAGGAAAATTGAATCCTTGGAGAAAAAAGAAGCTGACTGCTTTTTCTCTCAGATTGTCACACTAAGGAAAAAAGCTCGTTTGCTGCAAGAGTGGCAAAACCTACAGATTCAATATCACAACGTGTGGGAAAAACAGAGATTAATAGATAAAATATTACACACAGATAAGCTGGATGAGAAGACATCCTCCTCATGCCCATCCCCCATTTCCAACAACATGATCCTCACCCTCAACCATCCCGACGATCCATCTCAACCCCCTGCAAAAGACTCAAACACTCTATGTGAATATGTTGAAGTTTTATATCAACATCTACTAACTTCAGAAAAACCTCCCAATTCTCCCACAGTCCCTCCACATCTAGAGAACTTCATGTGGAATTCCACGGCCAAAATCTTGTCGGATCAGCAAACGTCCTTACTAGAATCCTCGATAACCCTTTCGGAGATCATCGCCGCCCTCAATAGTATGTCCAAGGGCAAGTGCCCTTGACCAGATGGACTCCTTGTCGAGTTCTATCTGCGTTTCTGGTCTCTTTTTGCCCCGGACATTCTCAGAGTGTTTAACCAAATTCTGCGAGGCAACCCCCTTGGACCCAACACATCCGAAGGGATAATCACCCTCCTATACAAAAAGGGAGACAAAACTGATGTACGCAATTACAGGCCAATATCTCTACTCAATGTTCACGGTAAGATCCTAGTTAAAACCCTAGCTCTCCACATAAAGCCCTTCCTCCAAAAACAGGTGCTACCGGATCAAAGCGGTTTCATACCGGGACGCCAAGTTTTGGACAATGTCATGACCATTTCCCAGTCTATTGATTGGATAAATCAACACAAATTAAATAAAGCGGTTATTTTACTTGACTTCCAGAAGGCTTATGACAGGGTTAACTGGGATTTCCTCGAAGCGGCCCTAGAGAGAGTGGGGATAGGCCCAAATTTCAAAACCTTTGTCAAGGCCCTATATGGAGCCTCGACAGGCAGAGTTTTGGTCAATGGCTACTCTTCATCCCCCTTCAAGGTCACCAGGTCCCTGCGACAGGGGTGCCCTTTGGCCCCCTCTCTGTTTGTCATATAGGTAGAAATCTTACTAAATATGGTAAGACAACACCCGGATTTTATTGGCCTTCAGATATCCCCATCTTACTCAATAAAGGTTTCGACCCTCGCGGACGACTTCTCTGCCATTTCTGAAAATTCAATAACATCTCTGTTAGCATTAGAACACTACCTATCCACTTACGAACGTGCTTCAGAAATGAGGGTGAGTTGGCATTGTCGGTGACCCTCACCCCTAATGGGGAACAACTAGCACTAGATCTGGGTATTTAGTTAAGCCTCGTGCGGCGGTGGAAAGATACCTGGGAGTACAGGTCTCCTTTGAGGATCCCAAAAACCTCCAGAATGCAATATCGAAAACACAATCAGAGACAGTTGTGCCTCCTGGTCGAAACCCCACTTCCTTTCGCTCTTTGGCAGGGCAGTGGTGATTAACACCTTCATCTGCGCTAAACTCTAGTTCATCTTATCCTTCTGCGTACTTTCACCAAGTTCCACGACAAATATTAGGAGACTCTTAACCCGCTTTCTATGGAAAGGAAATTCGGAATCCCAATCAGTTTTATCCAAAGTTAGTTGGAGTAAAGTCACAGAAAAAAAGAAGAGTGGGGGCCTGGGCATTCTGGACCCTGAAACACAGAACAAGGCACTATTAGCCAAATGGCCGGTCAGAATCCTGACAACGAAAGAGAAACAACCCTGGATTCTACTGGCTCAAGTATCTCTCGCTATCTTTTCTAGAAAAATGGTGAATTAAGCCGAGTGAGTTGCTAAAAAGCTCTGAGTAAATTTTTGACAATAGTCAGGCAGTTGACTATCGATTTGTTCATTGATTGTTTTTTGTTGTGCATAACATTTCTTTTTTCTTCTTGTTGTTCTTCTTCTTCTCCTTTTTCTTCTTCTTTCAACTTTCTTCCTTCTTCTTCTCCCTCTGCTTCTTCTTCTTGTTTAATCTTCCTTTGCAGCAAGTGTGTGCTCCCAAAACTGTTATAGGTATTTAACAAGTGTTTGCTCCCAAAACTGTTATAGGTCTATAACAAGCATGTGCTCCCAATATCGTTATAGGCCTATAAGCACCTTTGCACAGGCACACACTCAAAGGTCTCTCACGAAATCATTCCGCACCTGCAACTCAAAGTTGACGCACACGGACGCATGCAGACACACACAGACGCACACAAACACATGCAGACAAGCACACTTGGTAGAGGCCTCTGAGCACCTTTGTCCGTACTAAGCACTCTCGCGCATTTCTCTTTGTGTGCAGTCTGTTCGCGACGATGAAGTCAACCCAAGGCGCGAGGGGAATGACTAAGGCGAGAAGCTCCGGGCCAGCCCGGACAGTATCTTCTCGGGAGCAGCCAACGTGCTCAGAAGGGGTTGTGCAACAGAGGCAACCACTGCAGTCTGACGTCTTTCCAGTCGCAGTGGGAGAGGAAGACGAACTGGAAGTTTTCGAAGACGAAGAGGACTACGACGAAGAAGGTGAAGGAGAGGAAGAGGCAGGAGATGAAGAGGAAGAAGAAGAGGAAGACGAAGAGGCAGTAGAAGAAGGAGCAGAAAAGGAAGAAGAAGCTGAAGAAGAAGAAGAACGACAGGACGAGAAAGGAGGAGAAGAAGACCCAATAGAGGAGAAGGGTTGTTGGCAGAGAGAGTTCCTTGAGTCGAGACCTATTCGCGTTGACTTCAAGTTGTTCTTCTGGGCCGTGTACATCACAGCTGGTCTTGCCTATCTTCACGTGAAGACCAGCGGCAGCGGTGTATATTCAGAAATTGGCGAAATCTTATTTGCGACCCACGTCACAGAGAAGTATCTTATGGCCAAGTTGTGGGTCGTCATAAAAAAGAAGGTTGTCAAATGTCTTCTGAAGGGAGACAAGCTAATGCCCATGAAGATGTAAATCGAGAACAGAAAGCTATTGGCATTAAACAAGATTGACTGCAAGGTAACTGCGTTCATCTTTGCCAACATTTCCATTGCATGTCCCACCAATCTTCACGTTAATGACCTAGAAGTTTCTCGTCTTAATTTCGGGTCTCTCTTTTGAACTTGTTGTGGGTATTATTGCTCTCAACGTGTGATGTAGCTCTGTTTATGTGTTTCATTATTCCCCTATGGATTTACTGCTACTCTCAGCACATTAGTGGAAGTTATAGGCCTATAATTTCGAAAGTGTTTTTGACGCCACCAGATGTTATAGGCCTATAACTTCCCGGAACGTCACAGGCCGTCGCTGGCCGTTAACTACCGCTATGGATCTGCCGCTCCTCTGTTTGTCTGTTCCTTTTTTCACGTTGATGACCTAGAAGTTTCTCTTCGCAGTTGTGGGTCTCTCTTATGAACTTGTTATGGGTACCATTGCTCTCAGCGTGTGACGCAGCTCTGTTTGCGTGTTCCATTCTTCCCCAGTGGATTTACCGCTACTGTTAGCGCGTCAGTTGAACTTATAGGCCTATAACTTCGAAAGCGTTTCCGACGCCACCGGATGTTATAGGCCTATAACTCTCGGAACGTCACAGGCCGTCGCTGGCCGTTAACTACTGCTACGGATCTGCCACTGCTCTGTTTGTGTGTTCCATTCCTCTTGTTGATGACCTAGAAGTTTCTCTTCGCAGTTGTAGGTCTCTCTTATGAACTTGTTATGGGTACCATTGCTCTCGGCGTGTGACGCATATCTGTTTGTGTGTTTCATTCTTCCCCGGTGGATTTACCGCTACTGTCAGCGCGTCAGTACAAGTTATAGGCCTAAAACATTGAAAGCGTTTTCGGCGCCACAGGATGTTATAGGCCTATAACTCTCGGAACGTCACAGGCCGTCGATGACCTTTAACTACCGCTGCAGATCTGTCGCTGCTCTGTTTGTGTGTTCCATTCTTGAAGACTTAAAGGCCTTTAACTTACTCGCACACGCTGCGTAACTGTTGAATGCCTTCGCGTGCTGTGCAACCGTTTGTGGAAGGACTGTCTGATTTTCTACGACCAAATTTGAACGAGAAACTTCTTCCTTTTCGATGCGCAGAGCAAGAAGCAGCAACTCAGACTCCAACGACCACGACGACCACCACGACCACGAAGACCATGAAGACCACGAAGGGTGGGAAGATGCAGCACCGCAAAGATGTGATTTCTCCTCAAACTATTGCGGAGTCTTCTGGTGGTTTGGAAAGGGGATCGGGCACAAAGAAGGTGTCAAAGTTGAAAAAGATGATGTCGGGTCCGAGTAAGGGGAAGGCGGGCGAAGAGGGGCTCCTGGTTCCCCAAGGTTTTGTGCTGACCGAGCGTGCGAAAGATTTGACAAAGACTTGGGAGGAGCTCAAGAGCTTGAAGGAGAAGAAACTCTCGTACGAGTCCTATCTTCCAATGAGTTGTTTGAAGAGGCCGCCCCTGGTAAATGGGAAAAGACCATTGGAGGTGCGAGAGCTAGACGAGGATCATGTGCAGTCCATCATGGACTCCATGCTGAAACATCCAACTGGGCATCATCTTCCCTTCGTCGGCCTCATCGACCCTGGCCAAGCCAGTCGCAAAGAACAGGTGGATCTGGCGACGCTCAAAAATGGCCACTACGACATTTTCGTCCTTGGTGGCAACCAGAGTTGGGAGGCTAGGGAACGGTTGTCATGCATAAACCCCGACAACGACGACTACAAGTATAATGTCTGCTACGTTTACGTTGGCCTCACGGTCGACGAGGCGAGGCAGGTCGCCCACATGCACAACCTCGCAGCCGGCTAGCACCGGGACTAAAGCTTCATCGAGAAGCTCAGGTGTTGGCGACAAGTTTTTGAGTGCATGGGTCTCGCGCCACGGTTTAATAAATATTGAGTGGCAGCATCAAGATCTGAGCCAAATTGAGCAAAAGCAGCTACTAGAGTGAATTGGAAGAATTCAACAATTTGAGAGGTTCTTTTTTGGCTTTTGATCTTTTTTGGGGAAGATCAAAAGCCAAAAAAGAACCAGTCAAATCATTTTGATAGGAATGAATGATAAATATTCTCTTGTAAGTATAAATACACATACTTGAATGATTGTTAGGTCGACTGATTGCAACAATCACGCGCGCTCAACCTTCAAGATCGACGCGAATTTTTTTTCTATTTTCAGTTTTTGCAAATCCTTTAAATCGATCGATCAACCATAGGACCTTTGAATCAATCGATCAATCAATTAGCAAACCGATCACAGTACAACAAATTGATTGACTCGTTGATTGATTGATTGATTGGCTAACTGCTTGATTGTTCGATTGATCGATCTGACGGTTCACTGATTGATTGATGTATCAATCATTAAACTGATCACAGTATCGGTTAATTGAGCAAGCACAGGCGATTGGATGATCGAATGTTCGAGTGATCGATCTAATGTTTCACCGAACACAGGCGACCGATGATTCGATCGAGAAACCAGTCAAATAACCGATCACAATTTGTCGGTATGATTGGATGATCGATTGGATGATCAATCAATCAATCATCCAACCATTCAACCATTCAATCGATCGACTAGTAAATGTATCAAGTTGATCGATCCGCAGACCAGTGTTGGGGTGGGGAATAAAAAAGTCATTCAACCAATCAGTCAATCAATTCAGTCGGAGGAGGGATTCATGCATCCGCTCATTAACCAGTCGATGTTTATCTGTAGAAGACATGGTTGAATGATTATTGATTGGCATCCAACCGATCGACAAAGATGTCTATTGTCTCTCTCTCTCTAATTCTCTCTATCTCCGTTCCATTTTAAACTTGCGTTTTGCACAAAGAATTTCAAGATGTATGTGAAACAAAAGTCGTTTCTGCTTTTATTTTGGCTGTCATAAATTATTTACAAGGATTTATCCATTTTGAAGATTTTGTAGACTCTCTAAAGCAATTTTGAAGTTATAGCCCTATAAGCCAGAATCTATTAGGAACGTTTGACGGACTGCGTGACCAGTCAATCAATCCTTCATGTGTGTTTATCAATATTGGTGGATTGCGAAAATTTCTTATGTTTGGCGGCCAAAACGCTCGACAAAGATGTCTACTGTCTCTCTCTCCTATTCTCTCTCTCTCCGTTCCATTTTAAACTTGCGTTTTGCACAAAGAATTTCAAGATGTATGTGAGACAGGAGTCGTTTGTGCTTTTATTGTGACTGTCATAAATTATTTACAAGGATTTATCCATTTTGAAGATTTTGTAGACTTTCTAAAGCATTTTTGAAGTTATAGTCCTATAAGCCAGAATCTATTAGGGACGTTTGACGGACTGTGTGAGGCAAATAAGCGGAAGGGAAGGCCAGTGGATGAGCAGCTAGGCAGCTAAGCGCAAGGCAACCCGAACAACACGAAGGCAGTGAGACAGGAAGGAAGGCACCGACAAAGGGCAGACGACGCAGTCCACACATCCAACAACCCGGCCACGCTACGTAGCGAACACACCACCCTGCAAAGAACCACATGCGAAGCCAGTGGTACAGGCAGCAAGGCACCGGTGGAGCGCAGACGACGCAGTCCACACGTCCAACAACACGGCCATACTACTGAGCGAAAACATCACCGTGCAAAGAACCACATGCAAAGCCAGCGGGCCAGGCAGCAAGGCACGGGAAGAGCACAAACGACGCAATCCACACTCTCTCTCTCTCTCTCTCTCTCTCTGTTCATGTTTATATCAATCTATACGTGTATATGTGTTTGTGAGTGCAGGAATCAATCAATTTCATCGATTGGTTTGTTAATTTCTTATTTCGTACCTTAAACAGTAGAATTTCGTATATGGCGATGGGTATTAGAGTCAACTAGAGTTTAGATTACGGTCTTATTTTTTTTATTGGAATATTCGTTGTTTTTTCTTTGTGTTCTCTGCAGACAGACAAGTGTCTGGTGAAACCAATGCATTGGTTAACAGAGATGCCGAAAGGGGGGTGGAAAGATCATCGCGGTCTGTTGGGGAAGTGACTTGATATGATGATGCATTCGACCATCCTTTGATTAAAGATCACCTGAAAGATAAGTATCTTGCAAAGTATGAGGAACGGTACGGTTATAGCCAGGGGAATGAAATTCATGAGAGAGAATAACGTCTTCATGGAAAGCAGCCTAAAGTGCAGTACGATGTAGAAGGTAAGCTTCCGAGTGACTTTGCGTTAAAGACGATGTGTGGCCGCTACCTGACAGACAATGAGGGTCTTCGATGGACTCAGGATGAGTTGCTCGGAATGTTGAAAAAGAAGGAGGAGAAATTAATTGCATTGAGAAATACATTTTAGAAAGTTGAGTTGAATGCACGGAGAGTGGTCGAAAGTTTCATCGAAACAAAACGAAGTGAAGAGGTAAGAGATTCCTCTGTGTCCGGTGATGGTGTTCTGAAGAAGGAGGCAGATGCTGCTGAGCAGATGGATAGAGAGTTCAAGCAGTTAATTCAATCTTCTATAAGAAACGAATTGTTGGACAATGTTTGTGAGTTTAGTTCGAGAGTTGACCCGCATCTTTCACAAGATCTTCAGCATTTGCGTGACCGATTAGAAAAAGCAGAAAGTGAGATGAGAAAAGTGTTGTTAATGGGTGCCTTACCGTCAATTGATCCTTCTTTTGCCTCCGACCTGTTTAAAATTTCATCGACTAGAACTTTGGAGGACCTTCCGAAAACGCGTTTGATTGCTATGTTAGAATCATTACGGATGGTCGGTGTGGAGCTGGTGCAAAGGAATGCATTGTTGGAGGTGCAAAGTGCAGAGAAGTTTCCGGTGAGTGATAATCAGTTGAGGGGAACAGTGATTGTGCTTGGGCATTTGTACAAGGAGACGCATGGAGAGTTAATGAATCCTATATTCAGGCAAAATTTTTCCGAACTATGTGAGGAGGGACTTACCACTTCTATGGTGACAGGTTACAAAGAACAATTATACACTTTGAGAGTTTTGTTAGGGAATGTTGTTAGTGCTCATTCGCCAACGCGGTTTATGAAGGAGATGGCGCATGTTAAAAAGGAGTTGAATGCTCTGACGAGCATCAACATGAAACTTGAGACACGATTGCAGGAAATGATGCTTGCCTTGATAGAAGAACTGAGACGTCCATGTCCTTCGTGTCGCTGGTTCACCTATATGACGAGGGGGGATTATAAAAAGCTTAATGATTTGACGGTTGTTAGGCCTACGTCTGACAATGCGACGGACCTTTATCCTGATGGGGATACCATTCTTAGTGAGCAGGAGGAATTCGCAATGGAAGAGAGGAGGAAGCGACTGCGTGGAAATGATGATGTAGATGTGTAGTGAAATTTGTGTTTGCTATTGAATAGGAAGTGGATTATGTTAGACAAAGAGAAGTAAAATGAGCGGTTGAAGTAGGGTGGGTGATAGTGACGTGGAGTATGATAGCTACAAGAATGTTCCGATTCAAGTAAGATGGGTAACGATATTTGAAATATTTTGCTGCAATAAAAGAGTTAAATTTGGCTTTGTTGTCTTTCTCGCTTACTCTTCCTCTGAATCGGATTCTCTATTTTTTTTTTTCTTCCTCTCTTTCTCTATTTTTTTTATGTCTCTCTCTTTCTATCTTTGTATTTGGATTTGAAAGTTTTTCCCCCCCCCCCATTTGGCATTGGACTCTTCAATTTT